CCTACTGGGGATGAAATATGCAACCAATTTTTCTACCCTGACAAGGGATTGAACCCAAAACTTTTTGTTGTATGGAATGACACTCCAAATAACCGAGACCACCCCACATCCAAGGCAAACAGAGGCACTTTTATATTTGCAAGAAGAATGATTTCATGTTTATGAAGTGACCCAATAGTCACAAGAATATTTTAAACTTATTTTCAGTATATATCTCTTTATCTATCTATCTATCTATCTATCTATAGAGTGCAAGGGAGGGACAAAGAGGAGAGAAACGTCAGTGTGCAATGGCCTCTTGTACACCCCCCCACTTGAGCACCTGGCCTGCAACTCATGTGCCCTAAACTGGGAATTGAACCAGCAACTGTTTGGTTCGCAGGCCAGCACTCAATCCCCTGAGCCACACCAGCCAGGGAGCAGTGTATATCTTTTCAAATTATTCCTTTGCTTCTACATCTTGGAAAAATAATTCCCAACATAAAATTGTAGCTTTCTTTCCATATATTTTAAATTCATGTACAAGAAAACACTTGATTATGTATAAAAACTTTATAACCCACTTCTGCAGCTCTAGTAGTGTGAAGAGGAGGCAAGAATGACCCCTGGCTCCACCAAAGCCTACCCACTGCTGCATTCCCACCTCCAGCCTGAATATCCCACTACCATTGCCATTATGCCCAAGAGAAAGGCTGAGGGGCATTTTCAAAGAGATAAAGCCAAGATGAAGGATGAACCACAGAGAAGATCCACCAAGTTATTGGCCAAACCTACTCCTCCAAAGCCAGAGCCCAAACCTAAAAAGGACCCTGCCAAGAAGGGAGAGAAGGTACCCACAGAGAAAAAGGGAAAGACTGATGCTGGCAAGGATGGGAATAACCCTGCAGAGAATGGAGATGCCAAAACAGACCAGGCACAGAAAGGTGAAGGTGGTGGAGAGGCCAAGTGAAGTGTGTGCATGTTTGATAACTGTGAATTCTGTGACTGTACAGTTTGAAATACTATTTTTATCAAGTTTTATAATAATTCAGGAGTTTGTTTCACTTTTTTTAAGCTATATTGTTAGCACCCAGAACACTTCATTATTGTTTCTGAAGGAAGTACATGTAATATTAATAGAATGTCTGCAAAGCTGCACTGACATAGGGAAAAAAGACCACTTTTTCCCTTCTAGTTTTGAGCGAGTTCCTCTTGGTTCCTGGGAGGAGGGATCCCTTAATATTGGCAAACATTGATGTTGCCACCTTGGCACAGACACCTTGTGGTGTGGGAAAACTAAAATTATTTTTTATGTCCTTTTCTCCCTCTCCACTTTAAGCATAGACTTGACTCCCTAAAGCCCAGAAACGTGTTGAAACCTGAATTCCCAAAAGCTTGGTTACCAGTATGTTCAGCAATCTGAACTTTCCAGTGTTACCATGGACATGGTGTCCCTCAAAAGAGCAGCAGCTCCCTTTTTACATTGTGGACCTACAGACTGATAATTCTGCCATTTTCATTGCATTTCCTGAAAGTCAGCATCAGTAGGTGAAAAGCTGTTAAACAACATGCTAATGTGAAATGCCAACCCCCACTCTAAACTCCCCCTGTTCAGAGCAGCAGATGAAGACTCCATTGGGTTTTGTAGTGGCTTTCTGATTTCAGCAGTCCACTGAAGAAGGGAGTTTGAAAGTTGTTGTATACTGTTAACAATTTCTGCCTATGTCCTGCCCGAAATACCATGAGTGTTTATGAAAAGTATCTTTAATAAAGCTGGATACAGTTTGAAAAAAAAGCAGAAAACACTTGATTATATACAGAGGACAACAAAATAGTTAAACAAATTGTAAAAGTACTGCTATGTAGAAGAGTGGGGGTGACTGACAAATCAAAATGGCGGCCGACACTGCATTTTCCTTGTGATGCTTTAAAACACTTGTCAACTGATGACCCATTAGAGAGAAGCTGGTGATTAGACACAAGTATATGCACAAAACAAGACATTGTGGGTTTATCAAAGGCTGATATAACATTGGTCATAATGTGTCATCGGAATATTGGTCAAAAAATGGGTGCTGGAGGCTAACCATACAGTGTAGTAGTAATTATGCAAAACTGTAGATTCATACATGTGCATTAATAAAGCTAAAAAGTCATTGGGGGGAATTGCTCAAAATGTTCCAACATTTCACACCTGTTCTCATTTTGTTCTTTGAATTTTCTTGCATTCTACTTATTTTCTAATGAACAGTGATAGTGTGATAGTATCACACATGTGAACATAAAAGTGTTTCATTGTGAAAAATGAATTAATCCATCCCTGATGGTTTCAGTGACAGAGCAATTGCAGATGTCTCTATCAATGGCTTCTCCACCAACCCAGTTAAAAACTTAAAGGATCACAAAAGAGAATGAAACCAGGCTCTTCATTGTGTGCCATCTAAGGAAAAGGCAACTATTTCCTCAAAACATGACATAGTTGCATTTAGTCCCTCAGCTTTTGTCCTTGGAAACATGCCAGAAAAGCTTCCTTGGAGACTGGTCCCCAGGGAAGAGCAATGTTGTGTTATCCTGAATCCTCAGGTATTATGAGGTGCCCTGGAAGGCAGACCAGACATACTCTGCTCCACTTGTGTTCACAATAGCTGCCTGAATTCCCTTTCAGGCACACCTTCCTGCAGATTTTCTGTGTGACCAGTGCCTTCACAAAATTCTAAGTGGAGTGTTTCTCTTTTTCAACTCACAGTAAAGCGAGATGAGTGGCCAAAAATTTATAAATAATTTAACTCATAGGAAATGGTGTATTATAGAAATTTTTCACTCGAATAGTTTTCATGTTTTATTTGTGAGAAAAGGTTGACAAATTTCTTGCCTGATAAAATTGGAAGAAGGTTTTTTTTTCTCCCCTGACTTTGGCTCTTGGTAAGTATTACTTTAAGAATTTAAGAGTTTTAGTTAGGATGAAATAGAAAGAAGCCATTTTACAAAATTTGTATATAAACAAATCACCCTAAGAAATGCCAGGCTTTGTGAAACCAGAACTATGGAGTTGATGGAATTAGGGTCTACAAGCATGTAGATGTATTTGAAACATAATTTTTGAAACAAATCAGATCAAATGCTCAGCATACAAAAACATATCTTATGGAAATTAATGCTAATATGTGGTCTACAACTTTGGTTTCCTAATGTGAAAATTACTTTCAGTTACTACTTAATATTTCTCAAACAAAAGATAGTAAAATCATGCATTAAAATTGTTTTAATAATTTTTATTATACAACATATCAAAAATTTTTTCCTTAGGTTTTTGCAATTACAACTAGAAATATGGTATAAAGGGCCTGTTCTCTGAAGTCACTCTAACTAGTTTGAATGGCAGAGCCACCATTTAATAGCCCTGACTCTGACTATGTTAATTAAATTGTCTGTCTCCTTGAATTCATTTTTGAAATGAGCCTATAAGATAGCACCCATGGTATAATGTTCTCATATGGAAGAACTATATTAATAAAGAAAAACATTTAGAAAAGTGGCAGGCTTACCATAATTACATAAAATGATAGTTTTTATTATATCATGCCCAAGGGTCAATGCCCACTTCTACACTATGCAATCGAATGTAATTTCACATCATATTCTGTAGTTAATTCATTAATAAAAAATTAATTTTTATTAATTTTTAGAAATATTAAGCTAATTTAAATAAACCTTTATGAACACATTCCTGCCAGGTATCACCTTTATTTCTCCACAGTTTGAAGCAGTTGCACAGAATGGACAGAAGGAATATCACTCATGTGTCTGATTTCATCCTTATGGGGCTGACAGAATCTGAAGAGATCCAGTTGGTCCTCTTTATCATATTTCTCATCATATACCTGGTCAGTGTGCTGGGAAACACAGGGATGATACTGATCATCCACCTGGATCTCCTGCTTCACACCCCCATGTATTTTTTTCTCAGGCACCTGTCGTTTCTTGACATTAGTTACTCAACAGTCATCACACCTAAAACCTTACAGAACTTACTGACCTCCACGAAGCACATTTCCTACATAAGCTGCTTCACCCAAATGTACTTTTGTATCTCTTTGGGTACCACTGAATGTCTTCTTCTCTCCTCAATGGCCTATGATCGCTATGTAGCTATCTGCAATCCTCTGCACTACCCTGTAGTTATGTCCAAAAGATTCTGCTGCTCCCTCATCTTTGGGTCCTATTTCATTGGCTTTACAAACTCTCTGATCAATGTGCTTTTCATGAGCAGACTGGATTTCTGTGACTCCAATGTAATCCATCACTTTTTCTGTGACACTTCCCCAATCCTAGACCTGTCCTGCACTGACACACGTGGTGTGGAAATCATGATATTCATTTGTGCTGGCTCTACTCTAATGGTTTCTCTTATCACAATATCTGTGTCTTACCTGTCCATTCTGGCTACTGTACTGAAAATTACTTCCACTTCAGGAAAGCGAAAAGCCTTCTCTACATGTGCCTCCCATCTCCTGGGAGTCACCATCTTTTATGGCACTACGATTTTTACATATTTAAAACCACGCAAGTCCTATACCTTGGGCAAAGATCAAGTGGCTTCTGTGTTTTATACTATTGTGATTCCCATGCTGAATCCACTCATTTACAGCCTTAGGAATAAAGAAGTGAAAAATGCTCTCATCAGACTCATGCAGAAGAGACAGGACTTCAGGCAATTAAAGTAACATCATTTCTAAACAGTTAACTTTTCTCTCCTTTCCTGTGGAGTATTTTCTTGTTCTCTCCAAAAAGCAATGAAGTCCTTTCATTTGTTTGTATTTCTGTTGAACCATTCTGTACTTAAACAAATATAATATTGGACATCTCCAAAAGCATGTCCTTTGAAATTCATATTATAATTACAAGCCATAAAATATGTGTTAATGTGTGTTAAAATATGTGTCCATTATTTTGAAGGGCAACTCATCCACCAAGTGAGAAAATATGAAAGTCCTATTTGAAAATACAGCACAGAAATTACCATGCATTCTCCAATGACAGACAATTTTGTTATAAAACAGAGCTCAGTATTGGCACACTGGTAATAGTTTCAGAAATCATGTCATTATATAGAGAAGAAAAGTAGCAGAGTTATTAGGAGCACTGTCTTTCGAGCCAAACTGTGTTTGAAGATTTGTACTCCATATATCCTCTTTCAGGTGTGTAAGCCTTAATAAATCACTGACTTCAATGTTTCTATTTGCACAACTACTCAAGATAATTAATATATAAAGGTCCATACAGTTATAATAAATATTGAATCATTTAAGGCAGTACTAATAAATGCTGACCATTATCATTAGAATATTTCTATTCCTGCAATATTTTTAATACACAGTGGCTTTCCCTTAAAGATTATTCCCTTGTGTTTTATAAATTACTTTCAGTTAATTTAATTGATGAGCACAGAAACAACTAAGGGAAAACTCAGCACAACTACAAAGACACATTTACCAAACCAAGTAGAAATGGGATCTGGGGAGGGGGGTGGGGATGGCTGGGCTGGGGTGTGTAGTGGGGGGGAATGGAAACAATTGTACTTGAACAACAATAAAAAAAAGCATTTTAAAATGTTGGAAACAGATCTGTATATATTAACATTGATGAAGGTTTGGATAACTTTGAAAAATTAAGGAAATGGAAATACCTTACCAATTGTTAACAGTTTTGTATGTGTTCTTCTAGATCACTAGTTATGAAAGTAGATATGGGCATCTGTTACATATATAAGCAAGATTTCTGTCATTTCTATTTACCTTTTGCAGTTTTCTGTGCATATTTACATGTTTAACATTTGTCATTGAATTCAGAGATGAATGTGTTTTTGGTGTATGGTCAAAAAATCAAGACTTTTATGATAGAGTGCTTTGGATCTGAAATTTTGTAAATTCATCAATTTAAAAATCTTTGGGCAGTGATATATCTTTAGTGGGCATTTTCTAAATATGTTAATTCTTTACCTTTTTGTGATGTAGCAATAAATCTCAATAAACTTCTTTTTGACATACTGTGTATGTTAAAAATTTATTGACTTTTTCTCGATATTTATAGGCGTCTTGTGGTCATTAAAAGTAAGTTCTTAAAATAAAGTCTTGACTTATGTGTTTTGTATTCTACAAGACATGTTTTAAAGTTAAGAATTGAAAAACTTTGTGGCAAACTAGAACTTAGACAGAATGCTAAAATGTCCTTTATATTCCATTTTTTTTTTCTTGTAGATAATCTGGAATTTCTTTTATCTTTCTGCTATTTCAGGGTTATTTAAAAATATACTCTTTCATTTTCCACATATGTGTTTTTTGAAAACCACTTTATTGAAGTTACTTGACATTTAAAATCTGTACATATTTGATGTACGCAATTTGTGGAATTTTGCCAAAAGTACACACCAATATATATTAGATTGTCCATTTTTTACCCAAGAGGTCATAGCATGGTCTTATCAACAGGGCCCTTATCTTTGCATCTTGATGAGCAAAAAGTGGGATCACTGGGTCAAAGACAATTCCATTTTTAAGTTTTAGAGGAAACTCCATACTGTTTTCCATAGCACTGCATAGTCTGCATTCCCAACAGCATTGCACAAGGGTTCCCTTTCTTTTACAATGTCACCAACACTTTTTGTTTGGTTTGTTGTTTTGGTGGCCATTCTGACAGGTGAGGTGAGATCTCATAACTGTGGTTTGAATTTGTATCTCTCTGATGATTAGTGACACTGAATATTCCTTCAAATATCTTTTGGCCATCTGTATGTCCTCTTTTGGAGAAGTGCCTATTCAGGTCCTTTGATTATTTCTTAATTGGGTTGACTTTCTGGTGCTGAGTTGTGTAAGTTTTCCATATTCCTAGAGATTAAACCCTTGTCAGATGTATCATTGGTAAATATGTTATTCCATACAATGGGTACCCTTTTCATTTTGTATATGGTTTCTTTTGCTGTACAGAAGCAATTATTTAAATAATATGCATCAGTATTTTTAGAACTGAACTTTAATCTTTTTTATTTTACTAATTTAAAAGAGTCAACTAAGTGTCTATCAGTAGATGAATGGATAAAATAACTATGGCAATTTACACTATGGAATACTACTTGTCCATAAAAAAGAAAATCTTATCTTTGCTACAGCATGGATGGACCTGTAGAACATTATGCTAAGTGAAAGAAGCCAGTCAGAGAAAGACAAATGCCATACGATTTCACTCAACTGAACTAACAAGCAAATTAGACACAGATTCATAGAGAGGAAATTGACGACTCTTGGATTTGGGGTTGTAGGCATTGAGCCAAAAAGACAAAGGACCTGTGGACAAGAACAACAGTGTGGTGACTACCTGGGACGGGGAGGGTAGAATGGAAGAGGGTATGAGAAGGATAAATAGTAATGGAAAAAAATAAGAAATAATGACATTTAAAAAGTGGATCTTTAACCACACAAAAAGATATCTTCTGAATTTCTAGAGTATTAACAGACTTTCCTATAAAAGTTCCTTTTAATAGATGTTTTAAAAATCCTCACCAAAGTGAATGTTTATTGATTTTAGAAAGAGAGGAAAGGAAAGACAGAACAAGACAGAGAAACATCAATGTGACATAGAAACATCAATTGGTTGCCTCTTACATGTGCCCATACTAGGGATCAAATATGCAACCAATTTGTCTACCCTCACAAGGAATTGAACCCAAAACATTTGTTATATGGAATGACACTCCAAACAACTGAGATCCCCCCTCCAGGGCAAACACAGGCACCTCTATATCTGCAAGAAGAATGATTTCATTTTCATGAAGTGATCCAATATTCACAAGAATATTTTAAACTTATTTTCAGTGTATATCTCTTTATCTATCTACCTATCTATCTGTCTATCTATGTATTATCTATCTATCTATCCATCTATCTGTCTATCTATCATCTATCTATTTATAGAGGGCAAGGGAGAAAGAAAGAGGAGAGGAACATCAGTGTGTGATTACCTCTTGTACACCCCCACCTGGGAACCTGGCCTGCAACTCATGTGCCCTAAACTGGGAATTGAACCAGCAACTGTTTGGTTCCCAGGCCAGCACTCAATTCCCTGAGCCACACCAGCCAGGGCTCAGTATACATATGTTTTCAAATTATTCCTTTGTTTCTACATCTTGGAAAAATAATTCCCAACATAAAACTGTAGCTTTCATTTCATATATTTTAAATTCATGTACAAGAAAACACTTGATTATGTATAAAAACTTTGTAACCCACCCACCTCTGCAGCCCTAGTAGTATGAAGAGGAGGCAAGAATGACCCTGGGCCCACCAAAGCCCACCATCTGCTGATTCCCGACTTCCAGCCTGAATGTTCCACAGCCCTCACCATCTTGCCTAAGAGAAAGACTGAGGGGCATTTTCAAGGAGATAAAGCCAAGGTGAAGAATAAACCACAGAGTAGATCCACCAGGTTATTGGAGAAAACTTTTCCTCCAAAGCCAGAGCCCAAGCCTAAAAAGGCCCTGGCCAAGAAGGGAGAGAAGATACCCACTGAGAAAAAGGGAAAGACTCATTCTGGCAAGGATGGGAATAACCCTGCAGAGAATGGAGATGCCAAAACAGACCAGGCACAGAAAGCTGAAGGTGGTGGAGAGCCCAAGGGAAGTGTGTGCATGTTTGATAACTTTGTATTTCAGATCACTGTACAGTTTGAAATACTGTTTGTTACCTAGTTTTATAAAAATGCAGAATTTTGTCTTATTTTTTAAGCTATATTATTAGCACTCAGAACACCATTATTGTTTCTTAATGAAGGACACATAATATTAATAATAGGAAGTCTGCAGAACTGGATGGACATAGGGAAAAATCCTGCCTTTCCTGTCTAGTTTTGAGAGACTTCCTCTTGGTTCCTGGGAGGAGGGATCCCTTGATATTGACACACATTATGTACCTTGGTACAGACACCTTGTGGTAAGGTAAAAGTAAATTCATTTTTATGTCCTTTTCTCCCTCTCCACCTTAAGCATGGACTTAATTCCCTAAATCCCAAAGACATGTTGGCACCATAATCCCCCAAACTTGGTTACCAGTATGTTGGGCAATCTGGACTTTCCAGTGTCACCACGGAGATGGTGTCCCTCAAAAGAGCAGCAGCTCCCTTTTTACATTGTGGACCTACAGACTGATAATTCTGCCATTTTCATTGCATTTCCTGGGAGTCAGAGTCAGCAGGTGAAAAGCTGTTAAACAACATGCTAATGTGAAATGTCAACCCTCACCCTAAAATCTCTCCATTCAGAGCAGCAGGTGAAGACTCCATTGGGTTATGTAGTGGCTTTCTGATTTCAGCAGTCCACTGAAGAAGGGAGTTTGAAAGTTGTTGTATACTATCAACAATTGTCTGCCCATGTCCTGCCTGAAATACCATGATTGTTTATGAAAAGTATCTTTAATAAAGCTAGATACAGTTTGAATAAAAAGAAAGCACTTGATTATATACAGAGGACAATACAACAGTTAAGTTGTAGAAGTACTGCTGTGTAGAAGGGTGGGGTGATTGACAAACCAAAATGGTGGCAGACATTGCATTTTCCTTGTGATGCATTAAAACACTTGTCACCTGATGACCCCTTAAAGAGAAGCTGGTGATGTGTCACAACTCCACGCACAAGACAAGACATTGTGGGTTTATCAAAGGCTGATGTAACATTGGTCATAATGTGTCATGTAATCCTGGTCAAAAACTGTGTGCTGGAGGCTAAACATACAGAGTAGCAGTAATTATGCAAAACTGTAGATTCAGACATATGCATTAATAAAGGAACAAATAATTGGTGGGAATTGCTCAAAATGTTCCAGCATTTCACACCTGTTCTCATTTTGTTCTTTGAATTTTTTTGCATTCTAATTATTATCTAATGAACAATGATAGTGTGATATATCACACATGTAACCATAAAAAATGTTTCATTGTGAAAAATGAATTCTTCTATCCCTGATGGTTTCAGTGACAGAGCAATTGCAGATGTCTCTGTCAATGGCTTCTCCACCAACCCAGTTAAAAATTTAAAGGATCACAAAAGAGAATGAAACCAGGCTCTTCATTGTGTGCCATCGAAGGAAAAAGGCAACTATTTTCTCAAAACATGACATAGTTTCATTTATTCCCTCAGCTTTTGTCCTTGGAAATATGCCAGAAAAGCTTCCCTTGAGACTGGTCCCCAGGGAAGAGCAATGTTGCCTTGTCCTCAATCCTCAGTTATTATGAAGTGCACTGGAAGACAAATGAGAAATACTCTGCTCCACTTGTGTTCACAACAGCTGCCTGAATTCCCTTTCAGACACAACTTCCTGCAGAGTTTCTGTGTGACCAGTGCCTTCACAAAATTCTAAGTGGAGTTTTTCTCTTTTTCAACTGAGAATAAAGCGAGATGAGTGGCCAAAAATTTATAAATAATTTAACTCAAAGGAAAGGGTGTATTATAGAAATTTTTGACTCGAATGGTTTTCATGTTTTATTTGTGAGAAAAGGTTGACAAATTTCTTGCCTGATAAAATTGGAAGAAGTTTTTTTTTTTCTCCCCTGACTTTGGCTCTTGGTAAGTATTGCTCTCAAAATTTAAGAGTTTTAGTTAGGATGAAATAGAAAGATGCATTTTACAAAATATATACATAAACATATCACTCAGACCTTACCCTAAGAAATGCCTGGCTTTGTGAAACCAGAACTATGGAGTTGATGGAATTATGGTCTACAAGCAATGTAGATGGTTTTGAAACATAATTTTTTAAACAAATCAGAAATTAAATGCTGAATGTAGAAAAATACATCTTCTGCAAATTAATACTAATGTGTAAGATAGTAAATCATGCATTAAAACTTTTTATAATTGTTTATTATATAACATATCAAGAATTTTTTCCTCAGGTTTTTTCAGTAATAGCCAGATATATTGTTTAATGAGCCTGTTCTCTGAAGTCACTGTATCTTGGTAGGACAGCAAAGCCACCATTTAATAGGTCTGACTCTGAATAAGTGACTTAAATTATCTATGCTCTTTAACCCATTTCTTAAAATGAGCCTATAAGATAGCACCCATGGTATAATGTTCTCATGTGGAGGAAATATGTTAATAAAGAAAACCATTGAGAACAGTGGCAGGCTTACCATAATTACACAAAATGATAGTTTTTATTATATCATGCCCAAGGGTCAATGTATGCTCACTTCCATACTTTGCAATCAAATGTAATTTCTCACCATATTCTGAAGTCCATTAATTATTATTAATTTTTAGAAATATTAAGCTAATTTAAATAAACCTTTATGAACTCATTCCTGCCAGGTATCACCTTTATTTCTCCACAGTTTGAAGCAGTGGACAGAATGCACACAAGGAATAACACTCATGTGTATGATTTCATCCTTATGGGGCTGACAGAATCTGAAGAGATCCAGTTGATCCTCTTTATCATATTTCTCATCATATACCTGGTCTGTGTGCTGGGAAACACAGGGATGATACTGATCATCCACCTGGATCTCCAGCTTCACACCCCCATGTATTTTTTTCTCAGGCACCTGTCGTTTCTTGACATTAGTTACTCAACAGTCATCACACCTAAAACCTTACAGAACTTACTGACCTCCACGAAGCACATTTCCTACATAAGCTGCTTCACCCAAATGTACTTTTTTGTCTTCTTGGGTGCTGCTGAATGTCTTTTTCTCTCCTCAATGGCCTATGATCGCTATGTAGCTATCTGCAATCCTCTGCACTACCCTGTAGTTATGTCCAAAAGATTCTGCTGCTCCCTCATCTTTGGGTCCTATTTCATTGGCTTTACAAACTCTATGATCAATGTGCTTTTCATGAGCAGCCTGGATTTCTGTGACTCCAATGTAATCCATCACTTTTTCTGTGACACTTCCCCAATCCTAGACCTGTCCTGCACTGACACACGTGATGTGGAAATCATGATATTCATCCTTGCTGGCTCTACTCTAATGGTTTCTCTTATCACAATATCTGTGTCTTACCTGTCCATTCTGGCTACTGTACTGAAAATTACTTCCACTTCAGGAAAGCGAAAAGCCTTTTCTACATGTGCCTCCCATCTCCTGGGAGTCACCATCTTTTATGGCACTACGATTTTTACATATTTAAAACCACGCAAGTCCTATACCTTGGGCAAAGACCAAGTGGCTTCTGTGTTTTACACTATTGTGATTCCTATGCTGAACCCACTCATTTACAGTCTTAGGAATAAAGAAGTGAAAAATGCTCTCATCAGACTCATTCAGAAGAGACAAGACTCCAGGCAATTTAAGTAACATCATTTCTAAACAGTTAACTTTTCTCTCCTTTCCTGTGGAGTATTTTCTTATCTCCAAAAAGCAATGAAGTCCTTTCATTTGTTTGTATTTCTGTTTAACCAATTATTTACTTAAAAAATATAATATTGGACATCTCCAAAAGCATGTCCTTTGAAATTCATATTATAATTACAAGCCATAAAATATGTGCTAAAAATATGGCCCATTGTTTTGAAGGGCAACTTATCCACCAAATGAGAAAATATGAATGTCCTATTTGAAAATACAGCACAGAAATTACCATGCATTCTCCAATGACAGACAATTTTGTTATGAAACAGAGCTCAGTTTTGGCACACTGGTAATAGTTTCAGAAATCATGTCATGTATTATATAGAGAAGAAAAGTAGCAGAGTTATTAGGGGCACTGTCTTTGGAGCCAAACTGCGTTTGAAGAATTGTATTCCATACCTACTCCTCTTTCAGGTGTGTAAGCCTTAATAAATCACTGACTTCAAAGTTTCTATTTGCACAACTACACAAGATAATTAATATATCCAGGTCCATACAGTTATAATAAATATTGAATCATTTAAGGCAGTACTAAGAAATGCTGACCATTATCATTAGAATACTTCTATTCCTTCAATATTTTCAATGCACAATGGCTTTCCCTTAAAGATTATTCACTTGACTTTTATAAATTACTTTCGGTTAATTTAATTGACGAACACACAAACAACTAAGGGAAAACTCAGAACAACTACAAGGACACATGGACCAAACCAAGTTGAAATGGGATCAGGGGAGGGAAGTGGGGATGGATGGGGCAGTGGTGGTGTGTATTGTGGGGAAAATGGAGACAATTGTACTTGAAAAACAATTAAAAATAGCATTTTACAATTTTGGAATTATATCCGTATATGTTAACATTGAAGAAGATTTGGATAACTTTGAAAAAATAAGGAAATGGAAATACCTTAGCAATTGTTAACAGTTTGGTATGTGTTCTTCTAGATCACTGGTTATGAAAGTAGGTATGTGCATCTATTACATATATAAGCAAGATTTCTGTCATTTCTATTTGCCATTTGCAGTTTTCTGTGCATATTTACATGTTTAACATTTGTCATTGAATTCAGAGACGAATGCGTTTTTGGTATATGGTCAAAAAATGAAGACTTTTATGATAGAGTGCTTTGGACCTGAAATTTTGAAAATTCATCAATTCAAAAATCTTTGGGCAGTGATATATCTTTAGTGGCCACTTTCTAAAAATTTTAAATCTTTACCTTTTTGTGCTGTAGCAATAAATCTCAGTAAACTTCCTTTTGATATTCTGTATATGTTAAAATTTATTGCCTTTTTCTCCATATTTATAGGCTTCTTGTGGTCATTAAAAATAAGTTCTTA